TTGCCACTAGGCCACCAGAGCTCCCCTCAATATACTTCTTTTTAAAATAATATAAAAAAGACAGATTTTTTAGCCACTTTACCTGTCTACATACCTCACAAAACTACACCCAACATCTGACAGATAAGAAAAAAAATCATGTAGTTAAAATGACCACTAGCTACTTCTGTCTCTCTACTTCTCTGCTGCAGAATATTGCTTAGACAAACAAAATCTCTCCTTCCTCTTCATCTTGGCAGTGATGGCTCCCTGATCCATCTGCTTCTGAAAAGCCTTATGCTGTGGGAAGCAGCCCCCTAAATGCAGCTATTAATGCACTGGACGCAAGAAACAGATTGCTGTGCAATGCTGGAATCTCACTGTTGTCATCTATTGTTCTGTGCCATTGAGTCGCCTGAAACTCATAGGAACTTTTTGTACAATGGCTCTGAACCTTGGCCTATCCTGAGCCAATCTCACCATCTCCAATACACGTTCCCCCGTAACCCCAGTTATTGTGTCAAAAAACTCATCCATGGTCTTCCTCTCTTGTGCTATCCCTCCATCCTTCCAAGTATGATGTCCTTCTCCAAGGATTGGTTCCTCCAGGCAATATGCCCAAAGTATGTGAGACAGAGTTTCAAAATCCTTGCCTCCAGGAACAAGTTGGTTTTACCTTCTCCAGGACAGACCGGGGTATCTCCATACCTTTTCAACCTGTATGCAGAGCAGATTATCCGAGAGGCGGGGCTCTATGAGGAGATGCGTGGCGTTAGGATTGGTGGAAGATCTATCAACAATCTGCATTATGCAGATGACACAACCTTGCTCTCTGAAACTGAGGAGGACCTCATGCACTTACTGCAGAGGGTCAATGACTGCAGCCTTCGGTATGGACTGAGGCTCAATGTCAAGAAGACAAAGATTCTCACCACTGGACCAATTGGTAGCATCAGGATGGATGGCGAAGAGATTGAGATTGTTCACAGCTTCAGTCTGCTAGGCTCCACAGTCAACACTCTTGGCACCAGCAGCCAGGAAATCAAAACACGTATTGCGATGGGAAAGTCTGCTGTTAGGGACCTCTCTAAAGTACTCAAGAACAACGGTGTCTCTCTGGAGACAAAGGTGTGCCTGATACAGGTCATGGTCTTTGCAATCACTTGTTATGCATCAAAGAGTTGGACAATGACTAGGGAGGAGAATTGACGCCTTTGAGCTGTTGTGCTGGAGAAGAGTATTGAATGTACCATGGACTGCCAAGAAAACAAACAGATTCATCCTAGAGAGGGTTAAACCAGGCTACTCCTTGGAGGCAAAGATTCTGGGGCTTCGTCTGACATACTTTGGACATGTTGCAAGGAGAGACAGGTCTTTGGAGAGGGACATCATGCTGGGTAGAGTAGAGGGACAGCGCAGGAGGGGAAGACCCTCTATGAGGTGGATTGATTCAGTGACTGGGGTAATAGGGATGGGTGTGTCAGAGGCAATACGACTGGCACAGGATAGAGCAGGGTTTAGGGCTGTTGTACATAGGGTCGCTATGAGTAGCAAACGACTCGACAGCACATAACAACAACAACAGGACAGACCTATTTGTTCTCTTGGCAGTCCATGGTATGTATGTTCAATACTCTTCTCCAGCACCACTACTCAACAGCATTGATTCTTCTTCTGTTATCCTTAGTCACTGCCAGCTCTTCGATGCATTGCAAGTAACTGCAAAGATCATGGCCTGGATCACGCACACCTTAGTCTCTAGACTGACATTCTTGATCTTTAGCACCTTAGAGTGGTCTCTAATAGCAGATTTATCGAATGCAATTTGTCCTTTGATTTCCTGACTTAGTGCCAAATGTATTGATTATAAAATCAAGAAAACAGAAACTGTTAACAATCTCAATCTCCTTTCCATCTATCATAATGCTGCCAATTGGCCCAGTTGTGAGAATCTTTGTTTTCTTTTTTCCTCTTTTTTTTATGTATTTCATTTTTTTAACTAGTTTATTTACAAAATTCTAATACAAATTCAAACAAATTCTTTCAATTTCCCTCACCCCTCCACCCATCAAATTGTACAATCCAATGATTAATCCCCTCTTTCCCCTGCACATCCACATCCCTCTGCTTCCAGCCTCTCCCACCCCTCCTGGATCTTTATACTCATTCTACAATAACAGTCTTAATGTTAAGCTAGTCATGCATTTATTTCCTTAATCTTACCAGAAGTCACTCAAACTCATCACAAATACCATCTTGCATGTCACTTTTGAATAATAGTCTAATTATTGTCCCACCTGAATTAAGTCCCATTATTCCTTACTCTTGAAACTATAACACCTGGAAAAGAACACTGTACAGCAAAAAGGCCCTGGATGTGGTATTTCTACTCAAAACCGCACTGCTGTTGAACTGGAACCAACTCATAGATGATCTGTTGGGATTCTAAGACTGTAACACTCACAGGAGGAAACAGTCCATCTTTCTCCACTGAAGCCCTGACAGATTCAAACAGCCAGACTAAGCTAACACAGCACTACAAAATATGTGCAGTACAGACATCTTCTCTAACCACACATAGGTGCATATTAATGTCCAGTCATACAGGCTCTTGGGTCAATGCAATAAAAAACATTTACAGTGTTATTACTAAAATTCCAGCTAAGAAAGTATTTTCATTATCTTATGCAGACTTTCTAAGGATGAAAGGGGAAAAAGTACAATGCTGGCATACTTCTTTTCTTTAAGTTTTGTAATAACACAAAATTATCCATTTTAAAGTATTTGACTCAGTTGTGCTAATTACATTCACAATGCTGTGTAACCAACACCATTATCTATTTCCAAACCCTATTCATCATCCCAAACAGAAAGTCTGTAGTCATTAAGCAATTAACTTCCCATCTTCCCCAGTCCTCAGCGCCTGCTAGCCTATAATCTATCTTCTGTAGGAATTATGAATTGCCTGTTGTAAGTACTTCATGTAAGCAGAATCTTGGTAAGAATATTTGTCCTTTTCCATCTGGCTTATTTCACTTAGCATTATCAAGATTCAAACATTTTGTAGCAAGGGCTGACATACAATATATAAAAACAGGAATTTCTAGAAATGATACCATAAATGAAATTCTACTCAGTAAAGTTAAGATAATCAGCCTTTTTAGATGCACAACTTTAAAAAAAGTACAACGAGATGTTGTTTAGAACATCTCCTTTTAAGCAATTGGTACCAAAGGGGGGGGGGGCGGGAAACACACACCCAGTTATACTTGTAAGACACTTACCCTATCATCAATTATGACCAAATCTTTAGGTTCAGTTCTGTCAATTTTCAAGACACGGTATTTCGTTTCTGCATGATTGCTCCCAACTAGAAAGTATCTCTATAAATAAATAAATAAATACACTATTAGTTTCTCAGGCATTTCATCTTCTACACATTTTATAATCAATAATCACTTCAGTTCTTTAAATACATTCATAAAGTCAAGTTATTTTTCAAAGAAATGCATCTGTTAAGTATAACTCACAGAGTAAAAAAAAAAAAAAATGCCAACCACAAAAAACCAAAACGTTGTAAGATGATTCCAGAGGTCAATTTGCAAATGAAAAAATTCTTAATGGTGTTGAGATAAGCATCAGTCTGATTTTTGAAATGTGCCCAGTAACCAGGTCAGATGCATTTAATTATATAATTAGAGATTAACGTGACTGATTGGAGCCTGACATTTAAACTCTGCCAGACAGACAGAACCAGTTCTGCTAAGTATTACAAAGCTCGGCATATAATGAGGAATGTTGAGACAATAATAGCTATTAAAATGTCGATACTTCATTAAAGAAAAAGAAGACTGAAAATTAAAAGCCGTATACAAAAAGAGGATGATCTAACATAGTGGGCATTGTAATTAATGTTATAAAACAAAACATGTACGTATGACTGAAAAACCAATATGCTTTATAAACTTGGCTCATATCACAATTAAGAAATATAAATGTAGGGGAGGAGAGGGTGGGCTGGGAGAAAAGTGCAGCAATGACTGGAAACCCTAAGTCTCTCTAAACTTTCATTCAAATTAATTTAAAAATATTTTTAAAAAGAAATATAAATGTAGACTGAAAACAACTTAAAAACAAGAAAAGTGAAAGTCCACCCAAAAGTCTTAGGAAAGAATCAACTATATTTTCCAAAACTGCTTTTTATTAACAAGCCACAGGAATAATTAATATTCTGACTTTATTCTAAAGTCCATGCTTTCAGCATTCCACCTAAGCACAGTGCATTTGACTTCTAAAATGAGTACAGAGAAAGAAATGAGCATTTAAAGTGTAGAAAAGAATAACCTTATATGTTAGGGAAAATAGTTTTTAGTAAAGCTAAATATTAATTATTCTTAAATTATATTCCAGAAATAAATGTAATTATTACTGGCAAAAATTTGGGAAGATTTCGCTTCAAACTCATCCTCTAAAAAAAAAAAACCCAAAAACAAAAAAACACCATTTTGCCTACATTCCAAAAATGGAAAAGACACTGCTAAAATCAACTGTTATTTTACCTTCTTACTAGCTAGATAAGCTATAAAAACATATAATGCTATTAAATGTCAAAATAAGATTCTCTGAGTTGTGACCAACGTGAAATGTGTAGACCATTACAGGGAATCTGAGCAAGGTAGGATACTAACTTAACAACACATGCAAAAATTGTCAGAGGAGCCAGGACTTGAGTTGATGGCTAAGATGTTAAAAGAGTTTTATGGCATAGCAGAATAAGAACACTTGGTTATATCATTTTAACTCTACATCTGGAGAAACAGATATTCTTTTTTATTATTACTATCTTTTTATAAAGATCTACAATGGGCTCAAGGACTGCAGCCTTCAATGTGGACTGAGGCTCAATGTCAAGAAGACAAAGATTCTCACCACTGGACCAATTGGCAGCATCAGGATGAATGGTGAAGAGATTGAGATTGTTCACAGCTTTAGTCTGTTTGGCTCCATAATCAACACTCTTGGCACCAGCAGCCAGGAAATTAAAAGACGTATTGCAATGGGAAAGTCTGCTGTTAGGGACCTCTCTAAAGTACTCAAGAGCAACGGTGTGTCTCAGGAGACTAAGGTGCATCTCATACAGGCCATGGTCTTTGCAATCACTTGTTATGCATCAGAGAGCTGGACAATGACCAGGGAGGACAAGAAGGAGAATTGATGCTTTTGAGCTTTGGTTTTGGAGAAGAGTGCTGAGGGTGCCATGGACTGCTAAGAAAACAAACAGATTCACCCTGGAGAGGGTTAAACTGGGCTGCTCCTTGGAGGCAAGGATTCTGAGACTTCGTCTGACATACTTTGGTCATGTTGTAAGGAGGGACATCATGCTTGGGAGGGTGGAGGGCAGGCGTAGGAGGGGAAGGCCCTCTGGGAGATGGATTGATTCAGTGACTGGGGCAATCTGGATGAGTGTGTCGGAGACAGTGAGATTGGCACAGGACAGAGCAGAGTTTAGAGCTGTTGTACATAGGGTTGCTATGAGTCACAAGTGACTCAATGGCATACAACAACAACAACAATGGGCTCAGGGATTATGCAGAGCAAAATATACTAAAAAATGGTGGGTTAGAAAGGTCTCAACAGGAAGGTTACCAAAAACTAAAACCTTCATCTCCTAGCCAACTCTCCAGTAAAAATAAATTAATAAATAACCTCCACTGTCATGTGGTTGAGTCAGACTCAGAGTGAGCTTACAGGAGAGAGAACAGGGTTTCCAAGGATGTAAATCTATGGGCCAAACAGGCAACATCATGACATTATTGTTGTTAGGTACTGTTGAGTCCAGTACAACCCCTAGCAACCCTCTGAACAATAGATTCTGTCCTATCCTGAGCCATCCTCACACTTCCTGACACACTAGAGTCCACTGCAGCAGTCACCATGTCAATCCATCTGGTTGAGGGTCTTCCTCTCTTTCTCCCACCCTCCAACTATTCAAGGATGATGTCCCCCTCCAAGGAAAAGCCTCTCCTAGTAACACGCCCAAAGTATGTGAAACAGAGCCTCCAAGGAGCACTCTGTGCTCTGGCCCAGATATATGTTTGTTCTTTTGGCCATCCACGGATATTCAGGACTCTTCTCCATCACCACCACTCAAAGGCATAAAATCTTTTTCTGTCATCCTTATTCGCTGTCCAGCTCTCAGATGCATAACAAGAGATCAGAAAGACCATGGCCTGAATCAGACACACCTTAGTCCTCAAACTGACATCATTGCTCTTCAATAATTTTGAGAGCTCTCTGACTGCAGACTTTCCCAGTGTAATACATCTTCTGATTTTCTGACTACTGATACCAAAGGTATTGATTGTGGACCCAAGTAAGGTGAAATTGTTGACAACTTCAGTCTTTTCTCCATCAGTCATGATGCTGCCCATTGGTCCAGTGGTAAGGATTTTCATTTTCTTGATATTGAGATGCAATCCACACTGAAGGCTATATATCCTTTGCTCTTCTGCAATAATTGCTTCAAGTCCTTTTCACTTTCAGCAAAAGTTGTTTCAGTAAGTTGTTTATGAGTCTTCCTCCGATTTTGATGCCACATTCTTCTTCGTAGAATCCAGCATATAATTAGCTCAGCATCCAAATTAAATAGGTATATAGAGAGGTGCACTTCTTTCTTCATTTTAAGCCAAGCAGTCTTCCCTTTCTCTATTCACACAACAGCCTCTTGGTCTAGATATGTCTGTAATGTGCTGTCTAGGTTCACATGAGCACAATTAAGTGTTCTGGGATGTCCATTCTTTTCATTGTTAGCCATATCTTTGTACGGCTGACATAGTCAAAGGCCTTTGCACCATCAATAAGAGATAAATAGATATTTTTCTGGTATTCTTTACCTTCACCCAGGATCCATGGTTGTAGCAGTCAAGAAATCAAAGACGTGTTGCATTGGGAAAATTTGCTGTCAAGGACAAAAAGCACTAAAGCAAGAAAGTCTAAGGTGTGACCAACCCATGTTTTGGATCTTCTAATTTGCTTTCTAAGCATCTGAAAGCTGGATAATGAGTAAAGATGACAGAAGATAAGTTGATGTCTTTGAATTGTGGTGTTGGAGAAGAGTATTGAATATCTCAAGGACTGCCAAAAGAACAAATGCATCTGTTTTGAAGGAAGTATAACCAGGTTGCTCCTTAAAGTAAAAAAATGGTAAGACTTAGTCTCACTTTGAGTATGTTTTCAGGAGGGGCCAGTCCTTGGAAAAAGACATCTTGCTGGAAAGGGTAAGTGGATCAGAGAAAGAGAACATTCTCAAAAAGATGGATTGACAAAATTATTGTAACAATAGGCTCCAGTATGTTGGAGCTCATGAGGATGGCACAGGATAGGACGGAGTTCAGACATGACCAAAGGTTCGCTGAGTCACAGTCAAGGCAACAGCACATAATGACAAACAATAAACCTTTATGGAAGCAGACTCCTTTCATCATTCTCCCACCAAACTGGTGCATTTGAACCACTGGCCTTTTTAGTTAGCCAAACACTTAACCACTGAGCCACTAGTAATAGTGAGGAAGAAAGAAAGCAATTATAAAAATTCTTAAAATATTCTGGAATATCCAATGATGAGGACTTGATTCATTAGTGGAGTAGCTGGAAGGGCTGAGAGAAAGATAAAAAAGGTAAAGTACTGGTGCGGGTATATGAAAAATCCTATCTGGACCTCAGCCAGTTCCCTGGAACTCTCCTTACCACTGAGAGGAGAGAGGTAATGAATCCTACAAAAATAACTTAAGAAAAATGGTTTCACCACAACAAGATAAAGGTAAACAATCCAGTTGAAAAATGGGCACAGGATATGAACAGACACT